CACAGCATTCACCCCGAGACCCCGGCCCGCGAGACTAGCGCAGTCCACGAAAGGAGCCACCAAAGCGCCAACGCGTCAACTATACATCAACAAAGCAAAGACCACCCTGATGGGCGCCGGGCACCTCACATCCCTACATGCTGGTATTTACTGCCTGTATTATAATGAACTGACTGCGATGTGCAGACATTTCTCAGGTTCTCTAGTTCTCTTTCTTTCTTTTTCAGGTTGATGTATATTTAATGTCTTACTTCATTCTTTGGCTGCTGCGCCACCGTTGATAATAGGGCGAGCTGACCCCTCTTTCACTAGTCGTCCATGCTACTGTTGGGGGCCCTCCTTTTCTTGTACCTGACAATGCAACTCCTCGGTGCAGGATCTACACCTGATCATTTCCGGTCAGGGGCGGACTGACAACTCATGGGGCCCCCAGGCAATAAGGGATCATGGGGCCCCTGTGTTATGATCCGCCAGGTGGTGCCCCTGGCTGCCCACTTGACAGACCTACCCAAAGCGTGGAGTCTAAGTCCCGGTCTGTGCTTTCACCAGGGCCCCTGATGGTGGGGATGGACTTGAAACAGACCGGGACCAGGTCACGACCTCCGAGCAGGCCCACCAGTGGCAGGGGGAACCTCCGGGGATTTATTGGTACCGGGAGAGCCAGATGTGAGGAGGACGGCAGGACCTAGCAGGATGGATCACGAGCAGGGGTCCCGTGGGGTAGGCGAGGTACAGAATCGGCAGGCGGAGAATCGTCAGGTCACACGCAGGGTCAGCAGGATAAGTCAGTCCGTAGAGAGGTCAAAACAAGCCGGGGGTCAGGATGGGAGAAGACAGAGTAGTCAGGACAATCCGGGTCAAACACAGGAGTAGGCAGCGTAGTCAGGGTCAAAAACACAGGTACAGGACTCAGGAACTCAGATAGACCTTGCGGCGATTACTGACAGTGCAGGGCATCTTTAAATATTGCGCCCTGCACTGTCATTGGCCGCCCAGGATGCGCGCCCCCGGGCTGTCATTGGCCGCCTGAGGCGCGCCCGCGGCTCCCACTGCGCATGCGCGGCGTCCTGTCATCCATGGCTCGCCGGGACCTGGTGCCTGTGTCCCGGCGTGAGCCGTCGCCAGCACGCATGCGCCGGCCGACAGGACGCCGCGATCCCTGACACCCTGTGTCCTTGCCCAAACTCAAAAAAGCCTATGAAAAAGGTACCAGGGGCATCTCACGGGGTCCCTACAGACACTGGGCCCTCGGGCAGTGTCCGAGTTTCCAAATGGTCAGTCCGCCTGTTTCCGGTAACGCATGCCAGAGATAGGAGACGACATGCGGAATAATGTGAGGTTCATGATGACTATACAGTTCATTGTTACTTTTATTTTTACAATAGACCCCTGTTGGGTCACCCCGATATTTGCACCCCTCCCCCCCTTCCTTTTTTCTCTTCTATACATTCTTCTCTTACCCCGGAGACCCCACAACGCCCTATTTTCCCACAATGCAACGAGAAAACAAGGACCACAATGCTGAGTCCGCAAAACCACCACTACATAGGGAAGATAGCAATTGTTTTGTGAACACCCCGGTACCCACACCACTATGCCTCGTGTAGTATCATGGAATGTTACGAGATCGCCCCATAAACGTATGGCCGTCCTCCGTCATCGTAAACGTATGAAAACAGACATCGCGTTCCTCCGAGAAACTCATTTAAAACAAACGGCCTTTATGCGTATGAAAGAGCTATGGGTGGGACAGGTGCTGGGATCGCCCGCGGGCAAAGTGGGAGTAATCATCCTCATACATGAACGTCTCACACCCGACATTGTAACGCTAGCCACAGATGAGGAGGGGCGTTACGTCACTGCGCACATCAGAATAGACTCCTCCCCTCTGGTATTGGTTAACATATACGCCCCCCGAACTCCTCACCCAAACCATTCTTCCAAGATCTATCCTCAAAATTGTCGAACTTTATGCTTCTTCCATTGATGAGGACTTTAACCAATCTATGAACACACTGGAAGATAAAAGTCGTCCAAGAACATTGTTCCCTCCCCTCACCATGTGATGCCTGTTTATGTGTCCTTGCTTTATAAGCCAGTTATAGACTTGGGAGGCGGACATTTTTTATTTGCAAGATAAATTAAAACCCTCTATCCCAAATTACACATTTAACTCCACCCCCCCCCAACACACACGCTATGGAACAACTTCACAGAAGCTTTACAATTCACGGACGTTTGGCGTCTGACACACCCAGGAGGGAGAATTTACTTTCTTCTCCCCCATTCATCATACTCTGTCCGCAATTCATTACTTCTTCATCAGCAACATTCTACTACAAAACCTCAAGGATTCTACTATACAGGACACAGCGATCTCCGACCACGCCCCGCCTTCTATATCCACACAACACACGCAGCTCGACCAATCCGTACATGGCGTTCCCTTCCTTTCTGGGAAATAATCAGGGCTTGCTCCGGGTATTAACCCCTCGCCTACCGGGCACTTCTACCCCCTTCCTGCCTACAGGGCACTTCTACCCCCCCTTCCTGCCTACCGGACACTTCTACCCCTTCCTGCCTACAGGGCACTTCTACCCCCTTCTTCCTCCGCCTACAGGGCACTACTACCCCCTTCCTGCCTACGGGCACTTCTACCCCCTTCCTGCCTACAGGGCACTTCTACCCCCTTCCTGCCCACAGGGCACTTATACCCCCCTTCCTGCCTACCGGGCACTTCTACCCCCTTCCCGCCTACAGGGCACTACTACCCCCTTCCCGCCTACCGGGCACTTCTACCCCCTTCCTGCCTACAGGGCACTACTACCCCCTTCCTGCCTACCGGGCACTTCTACCCCCTTCCTGCCTATCGGGCACTTCTACCCCCTTCCTGCCCACCGGGCACTTCTACCCCCTTCCTGCCTACCGGGCACTTCTACCCCCTTCCTGCCTACCGGGCACTTATACCCCCTTCCTGCCCACCGGCACTTCTACCCCCTTCCTGCCTACCGGGCACTTCTACCCCCTTCCTACCTACAGGGCACTTCTACCCCCTTCCTGCCTACCGGGCACTTCTACCCCCTTCCTGCCTACCGGGCACTTCTACCCCCTTCCTGCCTACAGGGCACTTCTACCCCCTTCCTGCCTACAGGGCACTTCTACCCCCTTCCTGCCTACCGGACACTTCTACCCCCTTCCTGCCTACCGGGGCACTTCTACCCCCTTCCTGCCCACCGGGCACTTATACCCCCTTCCTGCCCACCGGGCACTTCTACCCCCTTTTGCCTACAGGGCACTTCTACCCCCTTCCTGCCTACCGGGCACTTCTACCCCCTTCCTGCCTACAGGGCACTACTACCCCTCCTGCCTACCGGGCACTTCTACCCCCTTCCTGCCTACAGGGCACTTCTACCCCCTTCCTGCCTACAGGGCACTTCTACCCCCTTCCTGCCTACAGGGCACTTCTACCTACTTCCTGCCTACCGGGCACTTCTACCCCCTTCCTGCCTACAGGGCACTACTACCCCCTTCCTGCCTACCGGGCACTTCTACCCCCTTCCTGCCTACAGGGCACTTCTACCCCCTTCCTGCCTACCGGGCACTTCTACCCCCTTCCTGCCTACAGGGCACTTCTACCCCCTTCCTGCCTACCGGGCACTTCTACCCCCTTCCTGCCTACAGGGCACTTCTACCCCCTTCCTGCCTACAGGGCACTTCTACCCCCTTCCTGCCTACAGGGCACTTCTACCCCCTTCCTGCCTACCGGGCACTTCTACCCCCTTCCTGCCCACCGAGCACTTCTACCCCCTTCCTGCTCCTGGGCACTTCTACCCCCTTCCTGCCTACCGGGCACTTCTACCCCCTTCCTGCCCACCGGGCACTTCTACCCCCTTCCTGCCTACCGGGCACTTCTACCCCCTTCCTGCCCCCTGGGCACTTTCTACCCCCTTCCTGCCTACCGGGCACTTCTACCCCCTTCCTGCCTACCGAGCACTTCTACCCCCTTCCTGCCCCCGGGCACTTCTACCCCCTTCCTGCCTACCGGGCACTTCTACCCCCTTCCTGCCTACCAGGTACTTCTACCCCCTTCCTGCCTACAGGACACTTCTACCCCCTTCCTGCCTACAGGACACTTCTACCCCCTTCCTGCCTACCGGGCACTTCTACCCTACCCCCTTCCTGCCTACAGGGCACTTCTACCCCCTTCCTGCCTACCGGACACTTCTACCCCCTCCCTGCCTACCGGACACTTCTACCCCCCTTCCTGCCTACCGGGTACTTCTACCCCCTTCCTGCCTACCGGGCACTTCTACCCCCTTCCTGCCTACCGGACACTTCTACCCCCTTCCTGCCTACCGGGCACTTCTACCCCCTTCCTGCCTACCGGACACTTCTACCCCCTTCCTGCCTACAGGGCACTTCTACCCCCTTCCTGCCTACCGGGCACTTCTACCCCCTTCCTGCCTACGGACACTTCTACCCCCTTCCTGCCTACCGGGCACTTCTACCCCCTTCCTGCCTACAGGGCACTTCTACCCCCTTCCGCCTACCGGGCACTTCTACCCCCTTCCTGCCTACAGGACACTTCTACCCCCTTCCTGCCTACAGGGCACTTCTACCCCCTTCCTGCCTACAGGGCACTTCTACCCCCTTCCTGCCTACCGGGCACTTCTACCCCCTTCCTGCCTACAGGACACTTCTACCCCCTTCCTGCCTACAGGACACTTCTACCCCCTTCCTGCCCAGGCCAGTTTCCAGCTTTCAGCTCTGTCATACTTTGAGTGACAATTGCGCGGTCATGCAACACTGTACTCATATGACATTTTTATCTTTTTTTGTGTGACAAATAGAGCTTTCTTTTGGTGGTATTTAATCACCTTGGGGGTTTTTATTTTTTCTTAAACAAAATTTTTTTTCTTAGTTTTTGTTATAAAATTTTGTAAATAAGTGATTTTTCTCCTTCACTGATGTGAGCTAATGAGGCTGCAGTATTGGGCACTGATAGGCTGCACTGATGGGGACTGATAGGCTGCACTGATGGACACTGATGAGGAGGCACTGGTAGGTGGCACTGATGGGCATTGAGAGGCATCTCTGATGGGCACTGAAAGGCGGCACTGATATATGGCACTGATAGGCGGCACTGATGCACACTGATAGGCACCACTGACTGGCACTGATAGGCGGCACTGACTGGCATTGATAGGTGGCACTGAAAGGCATTTCAGATGGGCACTGATATGTGCCATTGATAGGCACTGATATGTGGCATTGATGTGGCACTGATGAGCACTGACAGCTGGCATTGATGGACACTAACAGGTGGCACTGATGGGGCTACACAGATCATCAGGGCACACTGATCATCAGTGCCCTGATGATCAGTGTACATGTCCCCTCCGCGGAATGCAGATTACCGGCTCTCTGCTCCTCTCCTCTGTCAGCGCGACAGCTCGTGAGGAGAGAAATGCCGATAACCAGCATTTCCCTATTTACATGCGATCAGCTGTGATTGGACACAGCTGATCACATGACTGAGCCGACATCTTCGGCTCTTTCCGTGGCTCGGTGATCCGCTGTGTCCGAGGGATACAGCACACTGCCGATCGCTGCGCTGCGCACTCCCTGAGCCGCACATGCGCGGTGAGAATGGGAGGATGTCATATGACTCCTCCCAGAACGAGAGAACCGCCTTGCGCCCGTCATTGGACTATATGGCGGGTGGGAGGCGGTTAAATACTGCCTGGAGTGAGTTGTGTGAAACAAACGCAGAGCACCAAGCACACCCTAATCTTTTCTGGGAGACAGGCAAGGCGGCCTACTACGAGGTAGAATCATAGCGTTCACCTCCACCTACAATCCTTCTCCGAAATTACACAGTAGGAAGCCTTCCTCTAAGACAGGCACAGGAAGACCTAGAAGATCTCAACTCCCCTGAAACTAGGAAAGTGTGGTCCAAGGCCAAACATCACTTTGACACACATCAGGGGCAGCACTCAGGAGGCCAAACATCACTTTGACACATGGGCAGCAGCTCAGGAGGCCAAACATCACTCAGGAGGCCAAACATCACTTTACACATGGGCAGCAGCTCAGGAGGCCAAACATCACTTTGACACAGCTCAGGAGGCCAAACATCACTTTGACACATGGGCAGCAGCTCAGGAGGCCAAACATCACTTTGACACATGGCAGCAGCAGCTCAGAAGGCCAAACATCACTTTGACACATGCACATGGGCAGCAGCTCAGGAGGCCAAACATCACTTTGACACATGGGCAGCAGCTCAGGAGGCCAAACATCACTTTGACACATGGGCAGCAGCTCAGAAGGCCAAACATCACTTTGACACATGGGCAGCAGCTCAGGAGGCCAAACATCACTTTGACACATGGGCAGCAGCTCAGGAGGCCAAACATCACTTTGACACATGGGCAGCAGCTCAGGAGGCCAAACATCACTTTGATACATGGGCAGCAGCTCAGGAGGCCACGCACCACCAATCCCATAGTGACCTGCAATTTCATAAAATTCGGCAACAAGCCGGGCAAGCTGTTAGCACGACTATGTAAAAACCTTTCACCCCTACTCTCTTTTCCATCTTTGAAAGATGCACGGGGAACATTGAAAAGCGACCCTTCAGACATCATTTCCATTTTAGAAAACTTCTACCAAACTCTATATGGCTCGGATCCTATAGACACTGCTGAAGCCACCTCCTTCCTGGACCTTATTTCGTTGCCACAGTTGGACCCTTCCTCACTTCAAGCTCTGAACGCTCCCATCACTCAGGCGGATATTTTTCCCTAGCCATTAAATCAACCACGAACGGTAAAGCCCCGGGCCCCGATGTCTATACAGCCGAATTCTACAAACTCATGACCGAAACCATTTCCCCTACCTTATGATCAGTGTTCCAATCCATTCAGGTGGGAGGGGACTATTTCCCCTCCGGATTTCATTAAACTGATTGCCAAAAAAGATAAAGACCCAACGGAACTTAGTTCATACCGCCAATATCCCTGCTGAACCTCGACGCAAAACTCCTGTCAAAAATTATCGCCTCTCACCTAGCAACTATACTACTTACTCCTATCCATCACAAGTGGGTTTTGTGCAGGGCGTTTGGCAGCCTCGAATATTCGTAAGGTCATATCTGTCCTGAGTCAAGCCTCGAATGGCACACCCCAAGATGCAGCAATAATCTCTTTAGACAACGTCAACTTCGAATGGCTCTTTTTAGCACTTCAGAAGTTTGTATTTGAAGGCTTTTATATGCATCTGATCCAAGCCATTTATTCATCCCCAACAGCCCAAGTTATAGCAGCAGGCCACATCTCTAACCCCATTCACCTTCACAAGGGCACCAGACAGGGCTGCCCTCTATCTTCCTTACTTCATTTAACTGCCCCTATGGCACGCCCAGACTACCCTTACTTGAACCGCCCCATGGCATGCCCAGAGTATAGCTACCTGGGATGCCCCTGAGTGCTTGAGCCATCGCTACCTGCTGAGTCCCCGGGAGCCCGATGTCCCTAGAAAGCTGGGTGGGAGCTGTGCTGAGGCCAGACTCCACAGCTAAAGTCCCCGTTGAATCCCTGTGGGACTGATGTTGCCTCTAGTATGCTGTGTGGGAGCTGTGCTGAGGGCAGCCTCCACAGCCAGAGTCCCGCTGAATCCCCATGGGTCTGATGTTGCCCCTAGTATGCTGTGTGGGGGCTGTGCTGAGGGCAGCCTCCACAGCCAGAGTCCCGCTGAATCCCCATGGGTCTGATGTTGCCCCTAGTATGCTGTGTGGGAGCTGTGCTGAGGGCAGCCTCCACAGCCAGAGTCCCGCTGAATCCCCGTGAGCCTGATGTTGCCCCTAGTATGCTGTGTGAGAGCTGTGCTGAGGGCAGCCTCCACAGCCAGAGTCCTGTTGAATCCCCTGAGCCCACTTACCGTGGGTGTCCCTACAAGCCGCATGTCGCGGAGTGCCATGAATTGTCCTGATTGAGTGTCTTTCATAGTTCAATAAAGCTTTGTGTGTTCTCCATCTTCTTTGTGTGTTCTCCATCTTCTTTGTGTGTTCTGTCCCGCCTACCCTCCGTCACACCTTAGTATTATATAAATGCCCTCTCGCAACTCCTCCCATTACGCTAAGTCTACCTTATTTGCCGCACCATTACCTCTCTGACTAAATATGATGCAGCATTTGTGTCATAACTGTCTCACCATTTTGTTTTGACTTACCTTGTTAAAACCCAATAAATATTCTTTTTAAAAAAAGAAAAGAACTGGAGAATAGAAGAGACACTGAAGAGAAACTGGAGAACAGGAAGAGGAAAAGAGAAGAGGGAAACTGGAGAATAGGAAGAGGAAACTGGAGAATAGGAAGAGGAAACTGGAAATAGGAAGAGGAAACTGGAGAACAGGAAGAGGAAACTGGAGAATAGGAAGAGGAAACTGGAGAATAGGAAGAGGAAACTGGAAACAGGAAGAGGAAACTGGAGAACAGGAAGAGGAAACTGGAGAACAGGGAAGAGGAAACTGGAGAATAGGAAGAGGAAACTGGAGAACAGGAAGAGGAAACTGGAGAATAGGAAGATGAAACTTCCAACAAGTAAAAAATAACTGGAGAAAAGGAAGGTGATGCTGAGGAACAAGAAGAACTTGAAAACACGAAGAGGACACCGGAGAACAGGAAGAGGAAGCAAGAGAACAAGAAGAACACACTGGAGAATGGGAAGAGAAAACTGGAGAATAGGAAAAGGAAACTGGAGAATAGGAAGAAGACACTGGAAAACAGAAATAAATAACTGGGAGACAGAGAGAAGACACTGGAGGGCAAGAGAAAGAAATGGAAAGGACAGGGATAGAAAACTGGAGGACAGAAAAAGACAACTGCAGTATTTAACGGGAAGATGAAACATACAGTGGGGATGGAAAGTTTGGGCACCCCAGCTAAAAATTTGTATTAATGTGCATAAAGAAGCCAAGGAAAGATGGAAAAATCTCCAAAAGGCATCAAATTACAGATTAGACATTCTTATAATATGTCAACAAAAGTTAGATTTTATTTCCATCATTTACACTTTCAAAATAACAGAAAACAAAAAAATGACGTCTGCAAAAGTTTGGGCCCCCTGCAGAGTTAATATCATGTACTGCCCCCTTTGCCAAGCTGAGACCTGCCAGTGTCATGGATTGTTCTCAATCATCGTCTGGGAAGACCAGGTGATGTCAGTCTCAAAGGTTTAAATGCCCCGACTCATCTGACCTTGCCCCAACAATCAGCACCATGGGTTCTTCTAAGCAGTTGTCTAGAAAACTGAAACTGAAAATAGTTGACGCTCACAAAGCTGGAGAAGGCTATAAGAAGATAGCAAAGCGTTTTCAGATGTCAATATCCTCTGTTCGGAATGTCATTAAGAAATGGCAGTCATCAGGAACAGTGGAAGTTAAAGCAAGATCTGGAAGACCAAGAAAAATATCAGACAGAACAGCTCGCAGGATTGTGAGAAAAACAATTCAAAACCCCACGTTTGACTGCACGATCCCTCCAGAAAGATCTGGCAGACACTGGAGTTGTGGTCACTATTCCACTATAAAGAGATACTTGTACAAATATGGTCTTCATGGAAGAGTCATCAGAAGAAAACCTCTTCTACGGCCTCACCACAAAAATCATCGTTTTGAACTTTGCAAATGAACATATAGACAAGCCTGATGCATTTTGGAAACAAGTTCTGTGGACCAATGAGGTTAAAATTGAACTTTTTGGCCGGAATGAGCAAAGGTACGTTTGGAGAAGAAGGGGCACAGAATTGAATGAAAAGAACCTCTGTCCAACTGTGAAGCATGGGGTTGGATCAATCATGCTTTGGGGTTGTGTTGCAACCAGTGGCACAGGGAACATCTCACCAGTAGAAGGAAAAATGGATTCAATAAAATTTCAGCAAATTTTGTATGGTAACTTGATGCCATCTGTGAAAAAGCTGAAGTTAAAGAGAGGATGGCTTCTACAAATGGATAATGATCCTAAACACACCTCGAAATCCACGCGGGATTACATCAAGAGGCGTAAACTGAAGGTTTTGCCATGGCCTTCACAATCTCCTGACCTCAACATCATTGAAAATCTATGGATAGACCTTAAAAGAGCCGTGCGTGACAGACAGCCCAGAAATCTCAAAGAACTGGAAGACTTTTGTAAGGAAGAATGGGCAAAGATACCTCAAACAAGAATTGAAAGACTCTTGGCTGGCTACAAAAAGCGTTTACAAGCTGTGATACTTGCCAAAGGGGGCAGTACAAGATATTAACTCTGCAGGGGGCCCAAACTTTTGCAGACGCCATTTTTTTGTTTTCTGTTATTTTGAAAGTGTAAATGATGGAAATAAAATCTAACTTTTGTTGACATATTATAGGAATGTCTAATCTGTAATTTGATGCCTTTTGGAGATTTTTCCATCTTTCCTTGGCTTCTTTATGCACATTAATACAGACTTTTAGCTGGGGTGCCCAAACTTTCCATCCTCACTGTACATAAAAGGAAAATGCAGAACAGGAAGAAGATGCTGAAGAGCAGGAGGGGGTACTATGAGACCAGCTGAAGGACATCTAAAGGCAGAAAGTTTAACCTAGAGACAGTGTGGGACAGAAGTGGACAATGGAA